CGGTGAGAAGCTAACAGCGTTTCGTGCGCCTTTGGCATTGAGTCATGCCGGCCTCATGATCATGGAGATGTCTTTGGACAGTGCTGGCTCTTCAGCTTTGAAACGGAGATGGCGCCGCCCCCTAGAGTCGGGAATGACTAGCACATATTGCGTGGGGAAACTTTACTTTTACCTATTCATTCATGCCCCATTAATTATTGGTCTCTTGCCTTGATCAAGGTAGAAATGAAATGTGACAATAGTAGCATTCATTTTCTTGGAGGTGCTCCCTCTTTATGATTCCTTACACTCATGTATATTATTTGCTGCTTCTGTGCTCAAAGGCCACTTATTCAGGAAGACACCTGTTAAAACCTGTGTGAAATAGGCATGCCAGATCCCTCCTACCTTGTCCTTCATCCACGGAGGATCTCTCTCTAAAGCTTGTGAACCAACACTATATCCCCGAGTGTTGCCTTGTCTTTAGAAGAATGGTAAGCCAACAGCTGACGTGTATGCCAAGGCTAGGTCACCTGATGTTCTCAAGAAGAACGGAGCTCCAGTTCCCACGATGGTGCTGTGTGAACACACCCTGGGAATCTGGCTAGAAAGAAATTCAATCCCGGTGAATTGCTGGGAGGAATTTCAAAGGCGGCCATTTTCTGCATCTCTTCGGGTTTCAGGAGGACCTCACGTGATCTTGCCGAAATCTCCTGCAAGGCCTGCTCATATATCTTCCCCGTTCTGGAACATGGCAGCAAGGAGAAGGCATATGCAAAGCTTACAGGCATTTGGGAGCACACCAAGAACTTTTTTCAGCACCAACCAGCACTGAGCATTGGCTGGCAGTCCAGATGGCTAATCTTGGTTTCTGCATGCAGCAGATGTGCTGTTTAACTAATCAAAGCGTTGACTGACTTCTAACCTTGCTGGCCCTCCCTCCTAATATATTCCAGATCTAATTATATGATACTGTGGCCAAGTTTCACTGAGATGGCTGGACTGATTCTTAATCAGTTGCTCTTCTCTATTTCTAGGGATGAATTAACAGGGAATTCATGAAGATGGACATTTCTGGGCTATTTGAGATTTACTCCTAACTATTCCCTTAAACCAGTGGTTCCCAAACTTGGCAACTTTAAGACTTGTGGACTTCAACTCCCAGAATTCTGGGAGCAGAGCTGGCTGGAGAATTCTGGGAGTTGAAGTCCACAAGTCTTAAAGTTGCCAAGTTTGGGAACCACTGCCTTAAACCTTCTGCAGAAGGTCCATTTGCTTAGTCTTCTTCTGCAATGTGTTTTGCCTACAACAAACACAAGTTTGTCCAATGTGGCAACTGAATGGTGCCTGGTCCCATTTCCTGCCCCCCCGTCTAACCTTTGTTGTCTATAGTGGATAAGAAAAAGACGCCATATAACAAGCCACTCTGTGCAAAGCTTCTTCTCAGATCATCTAGGGAGGACAGGGGAGGTGAAAGGACGCCATGGAGAAGGAGAGAAATCCAAGAAACTGGGAAACTATTCATCCTAAACTTTCAGAGACAAAGCTTCAAATCTGTTTCCACAATAAGTCTTCTGAAGTAGGAACCCAACTATTTGGAAGCTCGTTTTCCCTAACCTACATCGTCTTGAGGGACACGGTGGCTCAGTGGCGAAGATGCTGAGCTTGTTAATCAGAAGGTCAGCAGTTCAGCGGTTTGCATCCCTAGCACCACATAGCGGAGTGAGCTCCCGTGACTTGTCCGAGTTTCTGCCAAAATAGCAGTTCGAAAGCATGTAAAAATGCAAGTAGAAAAATAGGGACCACCTTTGGTGGGAAGGTAACAGCATTCTGTGCGCCTTTGGTGTTTAGTCATGCCGGCCACATGACCAAGGAGACGTCTTCGGACAGCGCTGGCTCTCAGCTTTGAAATGGAGATGAGCACCACCCCCTAGAGATGGGAACGATTAGCACATATGTGCGAGGGGAACTTTTACCTTTACATCGTCTTGAATCTGTGCAACTTCAGTGTGTAAATGACGTTCAAAAACAGGGAAATTGTTGATACCTCCACAGAGCCAATCGTCAAACAAGACTGGATATGTAGAATTGTAGCCTAGGATGGAACCTATATACCTCTTACAGGTGAGACAAATCCTTGGGTGCTGATAGAAGTCATGGTCATTGGTCGTTTTGATGCTACAGAAAGATTCCAGGTTGAAGAAGGTTGTTCCGGAGTAAACATTGGACACACCCATTCAAACACGAGAGATCAGTGTTTTGCAATCTTGGCAAATTGAAAGTGAGTAGACTTCAACTTCCAAAATTCTCAGCAATGGCTAGGCATCCAGTTATATGACTTGGAAATCACTAAGGTTGGGAAAACCTTCCCTAGATAGGTCTTGAAGATAGCTTGAGAATAGGCAGATGCTGGGATGGTGCAGGCACTCCTCATGCTTCCTGTCTTCTCCCCAACATGTGTATCTTTGGGCCGTTCGGAAACCTGTAGCAAAGCAGTTGCAGAAAATCCACTGTGTCATTCCCAGGCTAGGGTTCAGAGCATATTGAATGTGTAAATAATATGTAATTACATCAAGGGAGTGAATGAGAACATCGCTTGTGTTTGAAGGATGAGTAACACTTCTTTCCCAGATGGAGGAGAGCAGTGTTTTGAGAGCACTTTTGTTCAACTTAAGAGTGGTTCTACACAGGGTTGGGGGGGGGAACCACTCTGTGATATTTGAAGAGCTTGGTTTCCAAGAGAGTTGCTATTGTGCTCCAGAGAGTTTCAGGTAAATGAGTATTATTAAGAAAGGACATGAAGGACAATCTCATCACTTCAACAGCTCTATTGGAGAGAGAGAGACATCTTCATTATGTGGAATTGTGATGAAAGAAGGCACCAATTGTGTTGTCTCTCTTTCTTTTCTATGGAGATGTTCCCAAGAGAAGGTCCTTGGGTCAGAAAGAATTATTTGTGAACGATGGCCTGGGAGAAAGTTGTTAAAACTGGAACGACACCAGGCCTCACCAATAAAACATGCGTACATTTCACCATCTCCCCGCTGCGTGCCTCCAGCCATAATTTTTGTTGTTCTTGTTAGTTGTGTCTGACCCATCGTGGCCCCATGGACAACGTTCCTCCAGGCCTTCCTGTCCTCTACCATCCTCTGGAGTCCACTTAAGCTCACACCAACTGCTTCGGTGACTCCATCCAGCCACCTCATTCTCTGCCATCTCCTCCTTCTTTTGGCCTCCATCGTTCCCAGCATGAGGCTCTTCACCAGGGAGTCCTTCCTTCTCAACATGTGGCCAAAATATTTGAATTTCATCTTCTGGAACTGGCCCTTCTAAAGAGCAGTCAGGGTTGATCTCCTCCAGGACTGATCTGTTTGATGGCCTTGCAGTCCAAGGGCCTCGCAGGAATCTTCTCCAGCACCAGAGTTCAAAGGCCTCCATTCTTTGGCGCTCAGCCTTCCTTATGGTCCAACCTTCACAGCCATCCATTGCAACTGGGAAAACCATCACCTTGACTATGCANTTTCCTTTCCTTTCCCTTCCCTTTTTCCCCCTTCCCTTCTGTTCCCTTCCCCTCATCATCCCAAAGAACCCTCTTGCAACCTCTGGGTTTCAAATGTGAAACATTCAACTTGCATAGGACAGAGGAGCCATGCATATAATATTCATTTGTGAAAAGATGGTTAGGGGGAAAAAAATCTCATTCCCCCTTAATCCCTACAGAGATAATCGACTGTGGACTAATTATTACTTTGACCTCTCGGCCAAAATACGCACCACTAGAAAAGTAATTCCAATTTTTAAAAAAATAATGATTATGATTATGGCTCAAATCATGAAAGACCCCATAACTTGCTTTTATTTACCCCCATATCCATAATCCCCTTCCCCCAAACCTGCTAGCAAGGCCTCTGCCCAAGGAGGCATGCTGGGACTTGATTCTTGCTGGATTGTTCTGGAAATCTATCGGTTGATAACGCAGATATGGACGGTGGAGGGGGGGAAGCATGGGTTGTTTTTCGCTTCATCCTATCTTGAAATCCACACGAGGGACATTTCCGTGAGCATCACCGCAAGCTGCTTGAGTGAGAGGTGCTTGAGAGGAGGAAATAATTTTAGGTTTCAGTGCTTCTTTCACGACGAGAGGCAACATGCTTGAACCACTTTAAAACAATCGCAGAGTAGATCTCAGCATGCGTCGTAAAGCCACAAGTATTCAAATTATGTCTTTCTTTCTTTCTTTTTTTTCCACTTTCTTTCCACGTTACATTTTCCGATTTGGCAGATGATCTGAGCGTCTCATTCTTTCTCTCCACTCTTTTCTCTCGTCCCGTTTGATTCTTAACAACGGCCAAGTTGAGAACCAGCCCACGCAGATGCATTTTAGGTATGGGGTATACGTTGGGCAGCTTTAAGGGGGCTTCATATCTTTTAAAGCAAGCACCTGCTTTAAATTGGATAACCTAGAACTATGCCGATTAAGGGCTGACCTAAGTGTGTAGTACACAAAATTGTCTGCTACAACATCCTACATCTCAATGACTACTTCAGCTTCAANAAGAAGAAGAGGAGGGAGAAAGAGAGAAAAAGAAGAGGAGGAGGAGAAGAAAAAAAAGAAGAAGAAGAAGAAAAAGAAGAAAGAAGAAAGAAAGAAGAAAGTAGTATGACACATAAATAGCTTTTCACTCCCTCACCTGGTTAGACAGGTATATTTTTGGGTGTGGAGCACCTTCTATAATTAAGCAGGATTCCTTGATGCCTTTTGTAATATCTCTTTGCCTGTCTTCTCTCTGGCACTACCTGTATAATCTAGGTGTTTCCTTCTCCTCCCCATTTTCCAGGTGTGGCATTTAGGTAATGCTTTCCCTGCCTTCCTTTTTCATTCCTCGCTGGGATCAAGGCCTGAGAACTTGACTGTTTCTGTATTAAAGGCGCAAATTAGGCTGCCGTTTGATTCTTCTATCCTTCACAGAGCTGTGGAGAGGAAGCCAGAAACCCAACGCAGGGGGATAAAGACCCACGAGATGGAAACGCCAAGAACAAACGGGACCACAGGCAAACAGGAGGAAGCCAAGACCCCCACTTCGCCCAAGAAAGAGACGGAAGAAGGGAAGAAATCCAGCAGTCCAAACAAAGCTGAGAAAGAAGCCAACAAAAACAATGTGGCACCGAACCAGGAGACAACCCAACTCAAGAATGCTATGTATGCTGGAAATGACTGGAAGAGACCCATCATCCAATTTGTGGAGTCGTCTGATGAGAAGAGGTCAACCTACTTCAACATGGACCTCGCGGATGCCAAGAAGTCAGGTTTTCCCGCCGTGGGGGAAGCTCGGAGGTCCCAGGTCACTTTTCCCGAGCGGGGAGATTTGAGGAAGCCCCTGTTCAACGTGGAGACCAAGAAAGCTTTCGGCGGCGAAGGAGAAGGGAAGAAGTCAATGTTCTCCAGTGGGCAGATTGCAGATCTAAGAAAACCCATCATCACCCTGGGGGAAACCGGAGAGACCAAGAGGACCAACTTCAACCGGGTCGGTAGGGTACCTACTGGAAGACCCCGGGTGGTTCTGGAAGAGGTCCTTTGCGACTCTTGCATCGACAACAAGCAGAAGGCGGTGAAGTCCTGCCTGGTGTGCCAAGCCAGCTTCTGCGAGCTTCACCTGAAGCCCCACTTCGAAGGGGCAGCTTTCCGAGACCACCAGCTCCTGGATCCCATCAAAGACTTTGAAGCCAGGAAATGTCCCATTCATGGCAAGACCATGGAGCTTTTCTGCCAGACCGACCAAGTCTGCATCTGTTACCTTTGCATGTTCCAAGAACACAAGAATCACACCACCGTGACGGTGGAGATTGAGAAATCGGGAAAGGAGGTATTGTAATTTTTCCTTTTGGCCTACGGTTAACCTGACTTTCTCTTTCTTCCCTCACCCCAATTCTTGCAAGGAAGCATTTTTACCCACCCGGGACCAAATAACCTAGGTTGAATGCTAAGTGGTAGTTAGCCACTTAGGTTTCCTGTCTCTGGGCTCTACAAAGAGCTAATTGACCTGGCCATATCCATCCCTGAATTGCTCAAGGTGCGCTGATTTCTACCTGGGCCTGGTGACATGGCTTGCATCTAGAAGCATTTCATTCCAGGTAATTTTACCCTGCGTGAATGGTGGCTTTGGCTTGTCCTCCTTCTCAAAGGGTGCCTTGAGGCTGCCGTAGCCATGCAGAGGACATGCCTGTGTGAGCCAAACCTGGTTTTCAGGAAGAAAGGCGGCCAGGGCTCACTTTTATTTAAGCCAGTTAATATGCGGTTCTTGCCACAAAGATCCTGAGCTGAAGTTATGACCCTTGAGTTGAGGTGGAGGGAAATGGGGTGGGTTTTAGACAGCGTAGAGTTGCTTAAAACCGGAACCTCTTTGGAAAGGTACCAGCAATGTTTCGGGTGGGTTTACAAAGAAGTTGGTGGGAGACAATAACTCGGCTTGAAGAGATAAGTAGAGTTTTAGCAAGGACTGAATGAATAGAAAGTAGGTTTTTTTCCAATATTCCATTCCATGCCATGCCTCCCCTTCCCCTTCCTCTTCCCCTTCCTGTTCCCCTTCCCCTCCATTCCCTTCTCTTCCCCTTCCTTCCCTTCCTTCTGTTCCCTTCCATTCCTTCCCTTCCTCTCCCTCCCCTTCCCATTCCCTTCTCTTTCCCTCCGTTCCCTTTCTGTCCTCTCCCCTCCTCTTCCTTCCCTTTCCCTTTCCTTCCTTTTCTTTTCTTTTCCTTTCCTTTCCCTTTCTTTTCCTTTCCT